TCTTTTACTATAACCATGAAACATAGGTGCACAGACTTTTCTATGACTTTAAACTACCTTCTTATTATAAATTTGATCAAGATAATTTCGAACAGTAAATGGATACTGGTGATGCTAATTAGAACCTCTAGAAACCCAGCAAACTAGAATCCTGTTTATTATTTTTCTTTTGTTTCGGGCAAAGCTACATAAGGGTTATGAACTGATAGGCTAGATGAAAATCATTTATTCAACAGCACACAGCGCCAACTCTTGGGCTATTCTGATAAAAGGATGGGAACTGTCACTTTTATAACGCACCCAAAGCCCCAAAATGCGAATCGCAATTTTAAGGCAACTGAACGTGAACCATGGACTCTCAAGTTCATAGTCCGACATTCTAACCACTAGGCCACACCCGGTCTTATTTTAATGATTTAGAGTTATTCATAATGTTTATAAGTCGTATGAGCATTGGTGGCAGTAAAATAAATTCCTGTTTGATGTGTGTGTGTGTTTTTCTTATAGGAAAGCCACATCGGGATAGCTGCTGTGTCCATCGAGAAAATCGAACCCATGATTTCAGCGTTGTAAATCCGTAGACGTACCATTGGCCCACCGGAGGACTCCTGGTTGATAATTTGATATCATGTATGCATATATATATATCAATTTCGAAACAAACACGGAGATGCGGACGTTTCTGCAACATACAATTGAAAGTCGTTTTACCCATCAGCCACTGCGCTGTCCTATCTCATCGCGTACAACAGTGTGACGATGATTATGACGTCAGAACAGGACTGACTCATTGAGTTACGTATAAAACAGAATGTTAAAATCATAAATAATATTCAACGTTAAACTGGTACACAATTAAAAACATTTTATTTAGGTCTATCTATGGCCTTCAAAAAGTTGTTCTAAATTATCAAGCTGGGTAGTTAAAGTAGACATTAATATTGATTTGACTATTAAATTTCATTAAAATAAATATGTAGGCTTAACACTATGACCAAGCTGACTGTAGTTATAAAAATATACATATTGTGCAGAAATGCTCTCAGAATAGATGTAAACCAATTAATACAAATTGAAAACTGAGGTACAGACGTTCCTTACAACTAGAAGATCGATTCGTTTAAAGGATAATATACGTCTATCTTTTGATCAACACAGGTTTTTGTATTTGACTGTGCCTTTTTCTCAATAGTGTTACTGAGTTAAAATGAAATATTTCCTGTCAACAAGTGTTGAAAACAAGCACTATCTTTTTAAACTATCTTTATTTCCGCTTATCACGAGAAAGGCAGGATATTATGAGACAACTCTCTCTCTCTCTCTGTGATAATTTTGGTATAATATTGATAGACGTTTTTATCAAATACACAAACAACTTAATCGACATAAAACCCGACAGGTCTTAGGTCTGGATAAATTAAGTCGCTAGAATTTAGGACATGAACGGGACAGTTGTGTCTTGAGAAGATTTATACTCACAGAGAAAAATGTATACTTGGATAATTTCTTTAATTGTTTTTAGCAGACAGAATTTAAAAATCGTGAATTCCAAAATTTAAATTATAAAAAGATTAAAGCATACTAAATAATCCCAAAAGTTTCACTTTTTGCCTCTGTGCATCTGCATCTACGAATCTAGAACGAAAGATCTGTTTGTTTGTTGTTTAGCGCAAATCTATACAATGAGCTGTCTGTGCTGTTCTTACCACGGGTATCGAAGCCTGTTTTTAGCGTTATAAACCTTCAGACGTACCGCTGAGCCACTGGGGGGGAGGAGAACAGCAAATTAAATCACACACACACAATGGACAGACTGTTACCATGATTAGCCAAAACAAGCAGAAAATATAGAAGTCAGTTTCAAATACATGTTTTTACAAAACAAAAGGGAACAGTACGAAAACAAGTTTTCTATATGACGTGTGTATGAGTGATGCTTATCAGTCATTTCAATAACACGTCATGATATTCATTAGTATACTGAATGCTATAGATTCTACGGAAGGTAAGATTAATTAGAACAACGTTTATTTAACTCTAGCCTAGTATTTTCAGAAATTACAGAAAATTAAAAATATCAACAAAGAATTGAACTTGACTTAATCCATACAGATTTCGCGTACGGACAGACACTAGAATAAAGTTTTTGTTTGATTATTTGAGATATTTGCATAATACTACAAAAGGACTATCTGCGCAAGTTGTCCCTAATTTTGAATTGATATACGAAAGGGAAGACAACTAGTCAACAACACCCACAACCAATACTTGGCCTACTGTAATCGGTTTGTTTGTTTGTTTTGAATTTCGCGCAAAGCTACACGAGGGCTATCTGCGCTAGTAGTCCCTAATTTTGAATTGATATAGGAATGGGAAGGTAGCTAGTCAACAGAACCCACAACAAATATTTGAGCTACTGTAATCGAATAGTGTGGTTTGACCGTCACTCTTATAACACCAACGGTATCAAAGTGCAGAGCGTAATTTTGCGGCAACGGAATGCGAACCAAGGACCAGTTGATTCACAGTCCGGCACGAATGAATATTGTACTGTATAAAACTAGTAACACTTTTTTCATTGCACACCTGATTTTTTTAACGCAAAGCTATGCAATGGACTATCTGCACTCTGTCTATCAGGGGGAATCGAACCACGGACTTTTGCGTTATAAGACAGCAAACTTATCGCTCACCCAACGGGTGACACAAATGATAATATTTTATTATTAGTAGTATTATTATACCTTCTCAAATTTTTACCAAAATTGACAAATTAAATTACGACATTTTAAATTATACATAAAAACATTCACTCTTGGGACGACTAAGAAAGGTCAAAAATGAGAAAGTAAAAAGGGCGTTTCTCTTTCTGTTTCAGGAAATATCAAACCTATTAAATACGTTACCATTTTAATTTATTCTTCTTATTCCGTACTGCCCAGGAGGAATATCGGGGGGTTTATAACGCTAGAACTCGGGGCTCTATCCTCGCGATGGACAAAATGCAAATAATCTATTGTGCAGCTTTGTGTTATAAATGTTAACGTATGTCAGAGGCCAGATATTAAGCCCCATAAAAACGAATATCGGATAATTGTTTCTGTAAATTGTTCAATGGTACCTTACTTAGCCATGTACCACTCGCTTTGGAAATAAGAAAGAAAAAAAAGGAAACAAAAAGTTCTCAGCTTATATTAGTGGAAAGTGTGAATATAGGAGTCTCGTCCTATGTTACTCATTCACAAAGTTTCAACACAAAGCATGCATAGCCTTGTGAGCTTGTCCTGATTGTTATGATTACTTCGCTGGCTGTACCATACCTAAAGGCGTCTGACTTCACTTCTCGGTAAATCACGTCATTTATGAATCCCCCCCCCCCTTCAGGGCGTGGAGGATGGACACTCTGAAATCGATCTGTCTCTATTTTCACCTTAACTCGAACATTACTTGACAGATTCTCATGGTACAGGATATAATGATATTTGTTTCTCAACAAAGGACATGTGGACAACCCTGCCACAATAGATCTAATTCCTTGTTTATGTGAACATCTGAGATAGATACATTTACGATTGAAGATAATAGATTGAGTTGCTCATGTCTTACTTTAGGCATTAAAATTGTTCCAGTATCTAAAGGAAAAAAATAGAGATTCCCAAATGTCTGCTACGTTGCCCATGGTAACGAAAGGAGTAGTGCGTATTTTATTGTAATTTTAACGAATTCTCCTTCGATAAAATACTTATCGATTAAATGGTTTATTCGGAGACAGAAGTTCTGCTTTAATGATTATATCGCTCAACCCTGTAACATTGGAATATATCTACCATGCTCTAAAGTTTGTAACAATTTTTATTAATTACCTTCTGAGAAAATCGCTTCAATCTCCGCGATAAAAAGTAAAACCGTTTCGAAATGCATTATTGCAATTAACAAGGTTCTTCAAAGCTCCTATTAAAAAAAGATGGATTAATCTCCGAAACGTATATAACGCTTATGTTTACGTCAATTCTACGTCTAAACATAGTTCTAATTTAGTCAGTAGTTTATTAAACAAAGACTGTGGCAAATTAACACCAAGACTGATGGTAATTAAAAACTCTACTTGGTCACAGAGTGACTCTCGAGTGCAAGTGGAAGTAATATATATGTACAGAGAAAATTATTCAAAAACTTTCATCAACATTTATGACTATGAAATTCTTCAAAGTTCTAAGTCTCAAAGTAAGATATGAGCATAATTTGAAAAAGTTCATTAACAAAATCTTGAGGATTTAACTAAAGACTCAGTAGCCACAAAACGATCAAAGGAAATAAGAAAAATGATATAAGGTTGTGCGTTTACACTCACCGTAACGTCTCGGAGGATAAAGTTTAAGTCACCAAAGGCAGTAGTCTTTAAGGACAAAAAATTAACCTTACGCTGTACAGTCTTAGAAGATGAAACAAGTCTTCCTCATTTCTCAACTAATGAATGCGTTAAGAATGACATCATCATATACTCTAATAACCCGTTTACTTTACCACACATCGGGTTACTGATAGAAGTAATTACCCAGCACAATAGCACGTGTCCAAAAGACAGGCGTGCTGAGAGAACAGCCATACCTATAAATTGTTAAAATGTAGACGTGCACATACCGAATGCTGTTTACCTGATTTCGATCGTGGTGCGTGGTGATGTAACATTGGTCTAAAGCCAAGATAAATATATAATATTTATTAGTGATTAAAAATTACAAGTCCAAAACACGGAATTAATAAGTAATCCAAATGTATCAATAAACTCCCGTACTCCATAAATGAAATCAGATAATGTGATGATTTAAAAATATAAAGCTTTGAACAACATAAAAATATTAATAAAGCATCAAGGTACAATTTATTTTTCTGTTTTATCTAAAAAATAAGTGCAAATAGACAGAAATACAGATGTAGATAGACTAACACACATATATATCGATAAGCTAAAAAACAAATACAGACACTCAGACAGTTACCTTGGTGGTGGTGATTCTACAGTGTTTTCTGTTCCTTGAGTCGTTTCTTGGACCACCAGGTTAGTGGTTGTTTCTGATGGCTCTCCATTCACAGTGGTTGAGTATTCTTCCACTTTGTTTTCCTGGTTGTCTGGATGTCCGTCTGAGCTGAGCTGAAAAAACAACAAAACC